ATGCTCGAGAATTTCCTCCGGTGTCCCGTTATATTTTAGATAGCAAGGAGTTTATTAAACTTCACCGAAACAATCTGTAAATTTCATTAAAATGTATTAAACTATCATCTTGTCTTTATCTTTAGTTAGCACATACCTTACACACTTAAAGCTGTAAGCTAATGATAGTTCTATAAGAGCAGATGCTGCTTGTGCAGTACAGATGCTGCTTGTGCAGTAAGCTGTAAGTTTTACGTCCAATGGATGATGATCTGATTAGTCGACTAATCGCAAAAATAATCGGTGACTAGTCGACTATCAAAATAATCGTTTATGGCAGCCCTACTTGGAACGCTGTGACAACTTTGTAAATCCATTTCCTGCCTTGTGAGCATCAGTAATTCTTTTTCTCAAGTCTAAACGGATTTTGTTTATTTGTGGCATGATATTTTCTCAAGTGAGGCGCAAACTGCTACTGAAGTGTTTATACTGTGTGTAAATTGTAAAATCAAGTTAAAACTCAGGGTTGTCTTCCAAACTTTGGGCATTACAAAGTTAAAGCACATCATTGAACAACAGTTGTTAATGTTGTTAATACTAATTCTGCTTGTGTGAAAATAGAAATAATTATGTTATGTATGTTTGAAAAATCCCGTGCTCTGTTAAAAAAAAACAGTTGAGAAAATTTTGACAAAAACGTAAAATTTAATTGGAGGTTAATAACGTTGTCTTCGTCTGTAGGGATGGCTTCATTTGGTACCACCCCTGCTTAACAACTGGTCCTTCCCACATGCAGATGGTTTTGTATCATGATAGTGGCTATTCATTGGCCAAAAAATTAGGTCAACTGACAATCCAAACACTTGATCCCTGAGATTAAGAGACTCTGAAGAAAAGCAGCATTGTGCTGACAGCAACACAGGCTGCATTAAACATGGGGTGCAGCAAACAGACGAGAGGATTTGGGCGTTTAATTAACAGTGACAGACTCAGGTGTGCCTCCAGATGTGTCATAAGAGGTAAACCAGGTTTTCCCCCAAATGAGTGCATGAAACTGCTGATATCTGGCAGTTAACTGATGTGTTCAGAGAGCCCAGTGTTTACTACATCTCCACCCAAGCTGTTGGAAATGAAGTAGCCTCACTTTTACTTTTTAACTGAACTTGCTGTGGTCTAATTAAAAAGCTGCTGAAATGCAGAAAAAGGTGCTTCTCACCCATGGTTATGGCTGTGCGTTAAGCAGATCATCAACTATTCCTTCTTTTTAAAATTATTTTCTGTGAAGTCTCAACTATTGTTCTTCTTTTCTGTCTAATCATCGTGTGCGCCGGAAAGCGAACACCAAACCATTTAAACTACATGTTGTCTCTGGCTCAAGTGCTCATAGTAAATGTCAAGACCTTTCAGAGCCGTAATAATGACATAGTTGAGAAAAATGATGCATGGCACCATTTCTGTCCTGGATGATGTTAAAAAAAACAGCTTCAGTACAATCATGTAGAGCCAGAAAAGATTTTCATCAACTAGCCTGTTGACATGGAGGCAATGATTTTAGATTTATACGAATACCCGACTTTGAAGCCAGTGACAGGTCAATTTTGTACCATTACAGAGACTGTAAGGCTGGTGGGACAGACCTTATTTTGTAGCTGAGGGCCGACTGTCGTGATAAATAACAAAAATATGTTAAGACCATTGTGTCCCTCTGCTTTTATAGAAAAAAATTTTTTCATTGCTGATCTGCGTGTCTTTTGTCTATTTCTCTTCATATCATGCACATTTCATTGAAATGAAATAGAGAGGCATGGGGTAAAAGATAAAAAGATTTAAGAACTGTACTTCAAACCGTAACCATATGGCAGCGGCCTGTTCTTAAGATTTCAGTCTGCATGGACTACATTTATAGACACGAGCTCTTTGCTGTTGATTACAGCTGCTTATCCATGTGGAAGAGGCTGCCACCGATACAGTGTGTTTCCTGACAGCACAGGGAACTGTCTTTTCATCCAGCTGTCTCCCTCAAATTCATAGCCAAATATGTCATTTACTGGGATTTATTCAAGTGAATCCAAACAACACGAAACCTGTAAAAGGGTGGGAAAAGAAATGGATTTGTAGCTACTTTAAACAATGTGTCTCTTATGATTTGCAGCATGTGAAAAATGTGCCTGACTCAAATGCAGGCAAGCAAGACTTTGAAGCAGCACCACAACTCAAATACAGGAGACAATTCATTAAAGGCTGAATATGGCTAAGCTTCTAGGCAATCAGACAAAAATTAAAAGGGTGATAATACACATGTGGACCATTCCTCATCTTCAGGAAGCTCAAATCACTTAATTGCTCTGGACCCAATGTCCAACATGAATCAGGGCAGTAGAAATCCAGCACTGAGAATTGAAGAGGTGAGGGGAAATTAACATATGACAGAAGACGCACCTCTCGGGAGCCACTTCATAATCCCAAGGCAGTGACTAATTGCATGCTTCTGGGTTTGCTGGTATTTGAGGATGCATGCATTTTTTTTTTACCAGCAATTTGCTCTGGGGCAAAGGAAAATTGCCCCCACTATTAGTCAGGGGTCTTGACAATGAAGAAACTCAACAAACAAGCAGTGCTTTCAGCACTGAGTCCCTATAAGAGACAGCTCATGCTTTGATGCCTGGCTCTCAAGGCCAATAAAAGAACATGGGGAAATCCAGAACCATAGACCCTTGTAGTTTGGAAAAATGGAGAAAAAACAGTATTCCGCATCACTTCTGTGACATTTTGCGCTTCAGTTAAAATGTTGAATATTTGTATTGAGTCAATAGAGTCACGGTGGCAGTATTAAAATAAATGAAAAATGCCAATCAGTGGTTACTCAGAGTCCTGTATAAGCCATTAATAAACCAGCTATGGAAGTATCTCCAAAATTCTCTCTATAGATCCACTTTACTGAGGCGATGGCCTGCTTGTTGAAAATGACTGGTGACTTATTCAGGGGGTGGGAGGCAACTTGTCTATTGAGCTGATTAATAGCACAGGGATAATCTCTGGTCCAATAAACCATCAGGATCCAGGCAAAGCTTCTGCCACTGATCACAGCCAACCCAGACTGATACCAGGGAATTAGACATCCTCACTCAAGAGACATTCAGAGGTGTAAGTCTTTGTGATGGGGACGGCCCTTTTGCACGGAGGCAAACGGTGACAAAAATAGTGAGTACCCCTTGTTCCCAAGGTGATTCCTGTGATGAGCACCAGTACATTTTGACCCTCCTCATAATAACTCATCTCTGTATTTTAGCAGAGAATGACCTTGTGTCACAGGGTGGGGAGTCAGCTTTTCAACAACATGACTAAAAGCTGAGCTGAGTGGGAACTTTAGACATTTAGCTGCTCTGTATTCAGGTCCACACCCAGCATCCCTTAGTCAACATCCACAGAATTCATATTGAAATGGGGCCGGCCCGCCCCCCCATCAGCCTTTCCTCAGAGCCATCAAAGCGGATATTTAATATTGGTAGAACAAGATATTATCTCAGCCCTCCAAAGAGTTTGCTTTAAAAAAAACTGTGCTCTGCAAGAGTTTGAATATTTTTTCTATTTCATATTACCATTATGAAACAGACTGCAAATTTGCAGTTACACAAAAATCTGCAGTTTTGTAGTAAAACTTGTGCATCATGTGGCATTTATTGCAGCACCATTAGTAGCCTGTTTAAACTGAAGGCTGTTTTTTCCTCTTTTTTTAATAGCTTGACAACGTTTCAAGTTGCAAGCTTCCGACAGAAATGGACCCAAACCACACCCATGAAATAAATTTCGCCCTTAATGGTCAGCTACCTGTGCAGCTGGCACCGTAGCCTACGTGATGGAGGCAGGGTGACGAAGGGAGGGGTGGAGGAGTTAGCGCATCATTTGCCATAACTCCATTCAGATCAACAGCGACCACACACGAACACACACGAGTACACTCGTCAGGCTGGTTTTTGCAACTGCGACATCACACTGCACATTCAGCAAAATCTGTCCAAAAGCGTTGAGAATAAGCACGCCGGACCCATCGCTCGTAGATTAAGTTGCTTTTCTACACGTATGGCGTTTGAGAGACGGTAGAAATCGGCGGACACAGTGTAAGCAAATTACATAAGCGACAGGCAGCGGTAGGCTAACTTCACGCGATGTGCTCCCACATACGGGCAGCTGTGAAATCACACGCCAACAACTAATAAGACTTGTGCTCAGTTAGCACAGAGGGAAAGTATCTTGGAGAAGTTTGTTAGTAAGCAGCCGAGCTCCGTAGCGGTGGCTGCACTAGCCGGACGAAAACAAGGACGGGATGGAGGGAAAAGGACCTATTGTGTGAGCATCGCAGGCGCTCAATGACAGACCCCCCTCCCTCCAATCTCCAGAAGTAGTTACCAAACATGTTCGCTAAGGGTTGCGTTTGTTTGTCTTTTTGTCTTTTAGCTCCTCAGAACTCTGAAAGGAGAAAGTGAAGTTGTGTTATCTCGCTTTACCTCAGTAGTGCCGTGTCGCCTTGTCTGCTGACCACACTTTCAACCGAGGAATAGTCCACAGTTTGTCCAGCGGGCAAGCAGGACGGCAGAAAGCAGCACAGGCTGAGAATTATCGCAGTAAGCCACTGACCAGAGACACAAGCATCCTGCACCGCAGTCATTATGTCCATCACAGCTGTGTTTTTGTTGTCGCTTTTCCCAAGTCTTCTTGTTGTTAAGAAAGAAAAGAAAAGCGAACTGGGCTAGCTTCAAAAGAAAAAAAACGGAGAACCTTAACGCGAACGACGTTTTATTTCCACACTTTTGCGGAGCCCCACGAATAAACGATCCGCTGTATAGTTTCCCAGGTTTGTTTGGATGGATGTAGAGCTCACTGTGCGGGGAAGTGTACTCTCCAGTGGCTTGCACACCATCTAGTGAGGAAATGCGATGTAAAATGGGAGCAGACCTAGAAGCAGACAACCCCCAGGCTCTGATCCTGTTGCCATGCGGCCGTTTCCCGGGCAACCCGTTCCCAGTGGCTCGTGATGGAGCAGCAAAACCGGAAGGTATTGATACAACCCAGGAGCAATTAAAGATATCGACTGGAGAAGGTCCCCCTATAAGGAAATGAACAGTGAGCATTTGGTGGAAATGGAGCTTACTGACGGTGACGCAGGTGGATCCCACAGGAAAACTCCTGGAAAGCTTTCAAACTGCTACTGTTATAGACACATCTCCAGATGGGGGTCCTTAAAATCAGAGCTTATGCACTTAAACTGTTTGGGTTTTTTCTAGAAGTCATCCACAATATACTTTGAAAAGATAATTACTGCCGACTTGAAGAGTTTGCACTACTAACGGGACTTTTTCATTAAGCAGGGAAAACCCCGGCACAGCACAAACGCAGAGCACATACACATAAGGACAAGGGGGACTTGGAAAGTTTGTTTTAGAGCAGTAAACCACATCCATTATGCTGCTTTAAGCCTTTTGACTTAGCCTACATAATACAGATTGTCTGGCCATAACCATGGAAATGACATACATTTCTATGAGGTGACATATTGGCATAGTGCGCTGAAATATCCGTGAATTCTTGGCATGAGCAAAACCTTGTGGATTTGCTATGATTGTAGCAACAGAAGGCACTTAATCAAGCAGTCACCTTGAATGCCTATTCAAGAGAGCATGTGCATAAAAATGACTTTAAAAATGAGGCTTAACATATTGTTGAAATAAAAAATGTTTTTTTTTTAAAAAAGAAAGCCAGTCGGATAACTGAGGGCATTTTCTGATTCAAGCAAAATAAAGTAACAGATGTTAATCCACAGCGTCTTAATCCCTGTTGTTTTGTTGTTGTTGTTGTTTTCATCCCTGCAGCCACTGCAGCTTCTAGTATTTTTAATTTGATTTGTTACTGATGTTATTTTACAGATTTGAGCTGATATCCTATACAAAGTAACCTTCATCTGATTCCTATTTAACATTTCTTGCTGAATTCTCTTTTATACTTTTTTTTTAAATTATTTTATTAATTTCCCCAAGGGGATCAATATAGTTTCATGATATTTTAGCTCACTGGACAAAAGTGTAAAGATTGAAGTCTCTAATGTTATCACAAGGTTAGAAGAAATGAAATAAAGACTATAAACTCCTGAAAGGCTTTTGCTGCAGTTTGTAATAGTGAAACAAGCTTTAAAGTGATACCCTGTCTTTGGTTTAAAATTAGGAAAGAAGCCTTGATCCTTTGTAAATTTATTCGGGGTACTGTGAAAGTTGCCTCTCCAGCGTTGGTTATTTATTCAAGAAGATAAATTGTTATTTCAGTGGTGAGAGAAGAGAGAGAGAACGGGGCAGATTTCTGTTTGCTCTGACAAAGAGCCAGAAAACAGGTTTCCAGAGGTTACAGGGGACATTTCGCCATATTGGAAATGAGTCAACAACCAATGTTCCATGACAAGCAGCATTAAAAGCAGGGGGAGTGAAAAGTTCATCTTGTCACAAAAACAATTGTAATTTGCATAACTGAAGCTCCCTCTGCTGTTAATAGCTGTGATAATGCCACCAGTAGAAATCCTCACGCTCTGGTTTTGTGACAGAGGTGTTTTTATTGGGCTGAGACAGGAAGATAATTTCCATCCTTCCCTTGTCAGTCACAATGCTGATTTTCCCCCAGTTTCTCTGAGCCCTTCAAATTACCTGAGAAAATGTACCTTTCCATGCATGAAAGCTATAATTACGATGACTCCATTTAGTGGTAGTGCACTTTCCAGAGAGGTGTGGAGGGGTATGCGCGAGTGGCAGCCTGGTAATAACCTCAGGAATTATGAACAGGATGAAAGAGATCAAGGCTGGACTATCACGATGTGTGCGAGCTGTTTTGAGTAATGGATACCACAGACGTTTCCCTCCAGGTGTTGGTAGACAGTTGTCTTCTCGGAGCTAGAGGGAAACTGATGCATGCAATTTGCTTTAATAAGGAGTGAATGAAGCAACACATAAAAAGTTTTCTTTGTGCAGCTTGTTTCCACCAGTTGGTTTAAATATATTAGCGCTATTATTATTATTAATACCACCAGGAAGAATAGACTTCTTCATCTGTCTGCTTAATGGAGACTGTTATGCAGAAGCAGGAGTGCAGCTACCGTCTTGTGTGTTACCACTACTGTATAACCAAACGCACTGAAACATGCGCTGGCTTGTCTTGGCTGCTGCGACTGAATGATGAACTTGAAGTGAAGCGAACACTCTTTGACTGTTATCTTTCTGCAAGTTGTGACAGCATTCTGCTTTACACCAACCGCGGCTGATTAAACTAATTTAGTGCAAGTAAGGCAGCATATTGAAGGCTATTGTTTCCTGAAGTAGTTAAGAACATGGTCATTTTTTTCTGTAATAGTGATTTGGTTAGCTATTATGAAAATGGATGACGTCCAGCGGGAAACTGTGCCGATCGATCACGACGAAGCAGAGAAATGCTGAACGGCTCTTGTGACTGCAGCCTGGGATAAAAGGACACGAGAGCTATCCGTGAGGGAAATGCAAGGATAATTGATGTCCTGTTCAAAGGATCTGGTTTTTAATCTCAAATTTACTCAGCAAAAGCTGTATTTTGATTAAATAATGATAAAGAATGATGTCAAACTGCTCTATTCATCTCCATTTTAATGGCTATATTGTGCTGGATCTAGGCTATCTATTATTAGAAACACAACCAGGTGGGGGGAAAACGAATGCAGCATTTGGTGTGTTTTATTTCTTCTGAATAAAGTTCCGAGTTGCAGTTTAGAACAGGTTTAATAACATCAACTTTTACAGACTCATTGTTTTAACGATGCTGCTTATTCTGATATGCACTTTTAACTTGGTGGTAGGTTTTTCAAATCTCACTCTGCCTTAGTCAGTCATAATGATTCTAATGTGAAACTTTTGCCTTGAATCCGTGTAGGCCAAGCTTTCTTTATCATTTTATTCTCACAGCTGTGAAGTTATTAATATCTAAATTTAGTCTCTTTACTGCTGTTAAATATGAGCTAGTCAATGTCTATACTCTTCACGTTGGGGCATTCATACCACTGTAAGTTTGCTCTTAGGTTTTTGGACAGCTAAACATTTTGTTGTAATTTTGCTTCTGTACACCAACACAGCATATTTTAAATCAAATGAGGAGAGTGGAATGCAGACTTTCAGCTTTAATTCAAGGAGTTTAACAAAAGTATCACTTTACTTACGAATCACAGTCATTTGTATACAGTACACAGTCCTGAGAGCCTCAGCAGTAATTGTAAAACTTTGCCTGAAGTTTCCTCCCCTGAGATGCTCTGCCAGGCCTTCACTGCATCCACCTTGGGTTGCTTTGTGTTTGGGAGCCTCTCGACCTTTAATTTTGTCTTTACTAAGTGAAAACCTGCTTGATGGGTTTGTAGCATAAATAAAAGTTGTTACAGACCTCCTAGGATGAGACATTCTTTCAATCTACAAATGGTTATATACTTCTAAGCATATATAAATACATATTTCTAGGCATAAATGAAACTCCAACAATACAAATCTAACATTGCTCTACTGTGGTGAAAAGCCTGTAATTGTAAGCTGGGTGTGGGTTTATCCCTGTAACTTCAGGGTTACTCCTGGGTTTTTGTACTACAAAGGCAGATCACCTCATACTGGGTGCCTTGGTAATTTACGCTGTAGACCTAACCTGCTGTCGAGCAGGTTGTGTTCTTGAGACATCAAAAGGTACAAAATCAGTGCCTACTGATCAGGGAGTTATCCCCAAAATTGCATCATCGTTCTAGCAAGACCTCTGTGCACAGACGGTAGGAACCTCTAAAGTTTTCCAATAGCATCAAAAGTCTTTGTGTTTCCCTGAAGATCATCAGATTTTTAGATTCAACTTTATTTCTTTACTTCTTGGCTCTTCATGCAAATAATTCTTGTTAAGGTTTACATAATTGAGGAAGGAGAGTACAAACAACCATTGGTCCAGAAGATCTTGGTCAAACAA